CGAAAGAGAGTTCAGCTCTTCAATACCTACGCCACAAGCGCCATGTGCAAGGCAGGGATTCCAGTTCTTGATATGTATCCGCTGACCGCTGCATGGCCAAAAGGGACACGGGATTCCATTCACTACACCGACGAACCTATGGAGCCTGCCGTTAGCATTTTGCAACGTTACCTTGTAGAAAAGTTACTGAAAACTTGACATGTAGAGTCTTTGTTGTAATATGAAAATGAAAGATTTTATTATTTCTCATAACCTTTTCTCTTGTTAATGTATGGATAATGTTGAGAGAAAATTGATGTTGGTCACTATTGAAACTTTAAGGGTTTAAAGGGAAATGATCACTGCGGTGTTCACTTCAATTATTGTCACGAGAATCATGTTATGCTTACACTTTTTCTTACGCCGCTAGTGTGGAGCAGGCTGGCTATTTGAACAAACAGATTCCATGTTGCCGTACGTCTGTTCAGTGATAGATCATAGATGACGTCAAAATGAGGTCAAATCAAACAATTGGCACACGAGCCGCAGGCGAGTGTGTCACAGATGTTTTCACCACATTTTGACCTCTTCTGTGATCTATTACTGATGATTACTGAACAGACCCAGGGCAACATGGAATGTATTTTTAAAATGATCAGGAAAGAACAAAGACTGATACAGATACCTGCTTCGTACAACTTAGTTGACTGTTCGAGGATTTGGGCTAGTTTAGGCATTTTTTACTCTGCAAGCAGAGGCTATACTGTGTGAGTTGGCGTGCGAACAACCGTTCACTTGCTCAAAGCAAAATAATGGCGAAAACGTTTTGCAAAAACTGTGAGTCTCTCGTAACGATGACACGCGATAACTGTTGTGAAGTTTTCTTGCAGTTTAGGCATTCTCAAGCTGAGAGTTCTCCACCCGTACCCTAAGTCATAGATGATAATGTTAATAACCACCGTTCTGATAGAAAATCATGATTTAATTAGAGTAAGACTTCGAAAACTCGAACTCAGATAGCTCGAACTCCCCGCTAACTCGAACTGAATTTCTTTTCCCTTGATCAAAATTTCACTGAAATTTACCCTTATAACTCGAACTCCAGTTCTTGTAACTTCACTCAGATGTGATCCCTTTACTCCTCTTGTTGTATTATCAGTAAATACTCTAACAATTTCACTGGTGCAACGAACAAATCACGTTTTATCAGAAAAATGTCAATAAGTAAATTTGCACTGTACTATACACTGAAGTGCTAGCCTGCGAGCAAGATGTCCTCACTGGCGCCCCGGGAGAGCTTGCTCGCAGGCTAATGAAGTGCTGGAAATCAATAACTATCAATCATTAATATGACCGATGGCAAATTGAATATTCAGTCGATCCCGTTCACTCGAACCCCTGGTTACTTGAACTGTTTTTCGTTTTACTTGCACAGAATCCGAGTTACCAGGATTCTGCCGTACTTTCAAAAAGCGCAAAAAATAAAACAAAATTGGAAAAACATGAAATCAGAAACCTTGTAAACTGTGTGAAAGAATTTGTCTAGAACCACAGGTGTTTGTTATGCGCGAACTGATCCATATACACTGAGTGATTGTAGAACGAAAAATTTCAATGAGTCATGCCACGAGGTTCCTTCTTTGTGAGGCACCTGTGTTCGCTTGATTATTTTTGTCGTTACAAGGAAAAAATAACGAGGATTTCACGAGTACATCACCAGCAAATAAAGAGTCAGAATTAATTTACAGTGGGACCTCTATTCAGAGGACACCCTCGGGACCGACCACAGTGTCCCCTGAAAAGAGCTTGGGCTGGGGTTTGTTAATAATTAACCAACAAAGAAAATAGATTGTTTTTATTTAGCCTCTGAATCTGTTTCATTCATTATTTCAAGCACCTAGATAATGTATAAAACAAATTATGCGATTAACGTTTCTCTGCCATATTGTGTGTTAATTTTCTTTGTTGTGACAGCTGTAATTATTGTAATCAGTGTACACTTAAATTTATCAACTGAAGCGACCCTCTTAGTTTGTGTTCAGTCACGTATTAAGTAATAAGGTTAAACCAGGGCTTCGGGACACAGAAAAGTGTCCCTTTCCCCTGATTCTGGAGGTGTCCCTTCAGTAGAGATAAAAGATACAAAGGTTATGTGAACATTTTTGCGGGGCCAAATTTTGTGTCCGCTGAATGGAAGTGTCCCTTGAACAGGGGTGTCCCAAAGGAGGGGTTTCACTGTAATTAAGTTAACTGCCATTGGCGCTGCGTGTCCGATCTGCTCATTAATAAAGTTCGATTCTTTACTGCAGATTATAATGAACCTTAGCAAGGGGATCCAGGAACAAAACCTCCAATGGCCTTGCATTGATACCTGTCAGTGTGAGCAAATAACTGGCGTCAAAGAGAGATTTCATAGAGTCATTTTTAAGGAAAATAGGGAAGTTGTGCCCAGTCCCTCTCTTCTCAATATGCCGGACAAAGTGGACTGGAAAGCCTATAAAGTTTCCGAAGAGAAAGAAAAGAAGATGGCCGCCGAGTTTAGAAAGAAATTTCAGCCGTTCGACTTCAACTTGACCTAGGATGAAGATGAAATGGAAAAGAGAAACCCCAGCTCTCTTTATCCACCTCGCGCCGTTACTTTGTCTCGCTCAGCCATAGTTCGTAGAGGGGAATCCTCTACTAACTATGATTCAGCAAATAGGAAAGTTGTAGTCCGTCTCAGCTCCTTAGTTGCTGGAAAGTTGTCACCAACGAGGAATAAACTTTTACCGGAATACTGCTTATAGATACCGACAGAATCTCCAAGGCTCATGTTGCATTGTTTTTTCTCGTTGTTGTTTCGTTGATCGCGTTTTCTTCTTAGAATTATTTTTTACATTGTTGGTTTTTACTTGTTCTTATCATACTTCTCAAGACATTAAAAAAGGCAGAACGTCACAATGCAGACTTGCTTAAGTTCACATAGATTTTAATAGCAGGTACTCCTGATCCGCGAGTGGAGAACCGCGAGCGCAACGAGACACCCACGGCTGAGACTGAGGGTACTTTTCACTTGTCAGAACTGACCAGCCAGGCCATTCCCGTCGTAATGAGAATTTCACTTTTAATGAAAATTATCCAAACCAATCAGTCATACCTATAGATGATGGTTTTTCAACAAAAACCGTTTGGAAAAAGCCGATTTCACTTGCTAACAACTGACTGGTCTGGGAATGGTCCTGCCGGCCAGTTCTGACAAATGGGAAGCGCCTTAAGCTTAAAGAAAGTGCAGCTGAGGAAAAATTCTTGGCGAGGCTTTCACACCCTCAAAATTGTACTTATAACCTAATAGAGCAAATGGAAATACAGGTAACATTTCTCATATTCTGCTTCATTTATTTTGCGAGTAGTTTGACAGTTTGAAGTTGCTTGTTCGATGAAGCGCAATCAGTCGAAAAATCAATCAATCGAAAAAAACAAACAAACAAACAAAACAAAATGCTAAAACGCAACTATTTTGATTGTTAAGGAATTAAATTCAAAACACCTAGCGGTAACTTTTTTTTAACAGTTTGTATCCGTCTGGGCGAGTTCATAAAGATAGCAAATTTGAAAATTAAAACAGTGAACTGATCGTTACGGCAGGAAGAGTGATGGAAAAAAATAAAGTAAGAAAGCAAAAATAAAATACATTTTATTTTTGCGTTCTTTCTTGTTTTGTGGTATTGAAGATTTTACCGTTGCAGGTCTACTAATAATCCGCGGCTGACCCTCTGGTTTGTCGTTGTGGTTTTGCCTTCAAGAGTGTGAAAGTTACTAGTTTAGAAATACGTGTATCGCAGAACCTCACGAAGCACGGGTGAGGACGCCCGTAAAATGTTAGGGACGGGACGGCGGGAGAGAAATAGAGTAAATTTCGTAACTGGGGAGGGCGGGTTTCAAAACCGGCTCTGATATTGGAAGCTGAGATATACTCAATCTCCTTTTGGTTGGAGTAAATTCAAGCGCAGTGCCTTGGCTTTAAAAAAGCATACATGGGATTTAAATGGGGTTGCTATTATTAAGGAAAGGTAGCCAAAATTGCGTAAGTCCCGTGTTCACACTGGATGCGGAGCCCAACAGGAAATAACAGATATAAATGGGCCTACTGAGTTTACATGCCCGTAAGACCATGTTCGGCACACGTGATACTCGCGCGCTTCAAGCGCGACGAGATTGTAAACTCGCTCTGCTCGCGGCAGCCGTCATATTAGGGCATTCTATAGTTCAATACTTTACAGAGCGCTTGTCTTCGCGGTTTGCATATATATTTTAAACAAACTACCCAATATTTCTGTTTGAAAACAAACCTAGCTTCTTCAGGGGCTAAAAGAAATATATACATTTTTGTATTATTCTTTTGTTTAATTCTTCATCGCCTTGAATTGCCGTAAGGATCGGTTTGCCGTTCCATATTTTTCTCAAGTTTAATTGTACTGATCGATCCAGGTCTACAACTGGGAGATCCGGCACCTCTCATTGGTTTGTTGCTGTGGACCTGCTGACATTTTATATATTTTGAAATAAAATGTTTTTTTTTTTTTAAATCATTGTAAATTTTATGCACTGACCCCCTTCCCCTAAGCGGTCGAGGAAGAATCGAAGGAGAAGAAAAATGCAGTGTCGACCAAAATAAAAATGCTCCTTTATAACACAGACACGGATAAACTAAATGAGACGTGAAAAAAGGACCGATAAGTTTGCGTCTGTTCACTCAACCTTCAAAAGGTTGCGTAGCAATCTTTAAAATCGAATTTCTTTATGTAAATTGTTTCAGCGATGCTAAGTGACTAAATGTTCGTGAATTGTATGAGGGCTTAATTACTTGCCAGGCTAAACGAAGATTCTACATCCAGTTAAATGGACAACAAACAAATGATGAACCGATCATTTAATCGTTGTTGTTATTTTTCTTCTGCTGGTTAAAATGTTCTTATTATTTCCAGTAAAAGAAAGGTATGTATTCAGAGTATTTTCATTAAACATTAATACAAAATGTAAGAATTAAACAAAAATATCCAAAGTGAATTCACTATTTTAAGTTCAACGTGGTATTCTAGTTAGTAAAGGCGAATGTGTGGAACAAGTCGCCGATAACCAGCGGCATTGTTTGAGTCCCTTGACACTGTACTTTGTGATGTCACGACGACTTCTGGAGTTTCAAAATAATTAAATTAAATTAAATACAGACTATCATTCTGATTTTGCAATGCTGATATTTTTCGAAAGAAAAGGTCACAGTACACAAACGTCGCATCAGAGTGGAGCGGGTCTGGAACGAGTTTATCAACAAACTTGCTATATTCATTCCTCAAAATGTTATTGAACAGAACACCGTTACGAGCTCCCGGCGATCTACCGGGACGTTTTGTCACGTGATTCACGGTCTAAGTCACGTGCCAAAATGTCCAACTCAACCACTTGTTAAAGATTCCATGGTGAAATCGAAAGCTTGTGTCTGCTTATAAGTTTTCTACCCTGAGATTTGAAATCTCGCTTACTTTAAAGATAGTTTGTATCATTACAAACAAACCCTTGCTTAAACGATTGCAAGCTCATTTTGCCTTTCTAGAATCCAAATGACCGTTTTCCTCATTGAGAAACTATTTCATGGGATTGGGTCGAGACAAGGGGCGCTTGTCAGTTAATCCTAAACACGTTAACGGCTAATACACATAGTTTCATCAAAAGAGGTTTTCTATGGTTTCAGAAAATTTAACTCATTGATCATAAGAATAGTGCAGAAACTGTTTTCAATCTTTTTTTTTTCATTGTTGCTTGCTGAAGTAAGCGCTTGAAATGTTACACTTTAAGCGCAATGAATGAATAAATATGCAAATCCCAGAACTACAATTTTTTTTACAGGTAAAAAGAGAAATGATGGCATCAAGAATGCAGAAAGCGTTTTTTGTTTCTCTTCTGGTTTCTGCTGCAATTATCGTTCGCGACTTTTACAATTGCAACACTTTTGTCCTGAACGTCTTGAAGAAGGCGCGTGTCGACGAAAGCTTTCTCTCTGACTGGTGCCGTCTTCAAAGATCTCGAGTGGACTGGGAAGGATTAGTTTCAAGCTGCCGACATAAAATGGCATGGAAACACAGAGAAATGAGTTCTATAAAGAGAACTGACCCAAAGAGAAGCTTTATATCCAGATGGCAGTTACGACCACAAGGTTAATAAAGCTTCAAGGAATTACTTAAATTTTTGGATGGGTTAAAATGCACACTCACAGTTTACCTTAAGACATTTTAAAATTTTAAAAGCTTAATGATTTTCCTTCCACAGTGCCCAGTTTAAGAATGATTAATCTGGGGTTCTGCTCATCTGAGGACCGGAACTCAGGATTTTACGAAAGAGTGTAATTATCAATGGGATACTGGATATAGTAATCTTGTGATGCGAGATTCTGAAAAGCTCTCACACCCACACTCCATGGCGCCCCTTTCCCCGAGGGTGTCACGCGTATGCTTTGACGGTATCACTGTTTTGTACCTTCATATCCTGCTGAAAATATTTGTCCTGGAGTAGGATAAGCCAATAAAAACCGGTAGTGTAACGAAGTAGGGGATTGGGGAAAATTTGGGCCAAGGTGAGAGGATGATTTCCCTCCCACCAATAGTCATAGCTTCTTTAAATCTGTTTTTCGACATCAACCGAACTGTATTGCTCTTTACTCTTTTACTTATGGAAGCTTTAAACCCGGGGGTGGGGTTTGGGGAGACATCCTCTACCGGGACGTGAACACTGTTTTGCTATTCTGATCTTTTCTTGTAGTTCCTTGGCCGAGAAATTCCTAAGACAGCATACAACCTCATAACAATGATGTCAAGTTTGTGATTGTCGTTTTCCTTGATCTTTTTCACCCTCAGGGGAATTCAGCCGTTTCTTCATTCAATCCGTGACTAACGATGGAGTTGTCAAGAGAACTGGAGGGGATTCATGGAGAGTACATATCAGACAAGGACCAGCATCCCTTGCGCCTATGGTTATAGACCATGATGATGGAACATATGAGGTCATGTTCCTTGCTCTTGAACCTGGGAACTACTCAGCCAAGGTTTTCTTGGACTACACGCTTTGTGAAGGTTACAGGGATCCGCCAGAGGATTGGTATATCCAAGGTAGTAATGGAGTACTGCAATAAGTAATAGAAGAGTCAGTAGTCTTCCCATATATAAACGGGACAAGACTTTACTTTGGTATCTTCCAGATACAGTCATTTGTTTGACTCTCTGCCACGCTGACACCTTTCCAATACAGCCCAATACCAGCTTAGACGGTTTCCAACTACATGTATTCATTCTTGCGCCTTACACTCGATCGGGTTTAATGCTTCGCCAGCATTTTTGGGACTGTTAGCTCGGTTTTCAAAGCTCAACCTGTGAGTACGTCAGGCCCCAAAAGTACTTGGCTCGACATAACTTAACGGTAATTGTGGTTGCAGATAATTGTTGGGCACGTCAATTAAGTAGAAAATGCATTTTTTTAATCCAAAGTTTATGAAACCCGTTGCGCCTTCTCCCATTCGTAAATATTATAAATTCTTAATTGAAATAGCCTTAACCAATAGCTTCTTCTTCTTCTTCTTCTTCTTCTTCTTCTTCTTCCAGGGGACATTCAAGGCCACAAACAAAAGCAAGGCATGTTGGGATACACTGGTGACGATTTCATAATGACTGCTCTACAGAGTGGGAAGCCTGTGACTTTTCATATTGCGGAATCTACAAAAAGAAATGGTATTAAACTTATATTATTCAGTAATTGTGCTTTAAATTGACGAATCTTTAGCAGGTACAGAAAGGTAAAGAGTTCATACACGGCTTTTACGCAAGGAGCCACAAAGGTTTGTGGCTCAGTAAAACATTCATTGTCTGTGATACAACGTGAAGTATTCATTGAGCCAGATATAAGTAAATTCTGATGCGAGTTGTTGAATAAACAAGTAAATCATGTGATTTAATTACAGGTTTGTTCAAGTTCATTCTGCCATTAGCAAATGATTCCCATCTACCTGATTTGTCGCGATTATCATGCAATGTCGATTGCTCGATGTTACTATGGAATGGCTTTGGACGATGGGTGAACGAGAAATGGAAACCATACATTCCTGAAGGTCAAATTATAGCCTGTTCCAGGCTCCGAGATAGTTGGGTCCGCGAAATTGAGAAAGCGCGAAGATGAAAATTTCGCCTGTCTTTCACTTAAGCGTCATGTCTCAATCTATTGAAAGCCTGGTACAGGCTAGTTTAATTAGGTCCATGTCACGTACATATCACGTGTTATCAGTTACAGGTTTAATGTTTTTTGCTTTCAAACCACCTTACGCTGTGTTATCATCAAGAGCCTCTGCTAGGAAGAAGAGATTCGAATGCAGTCACTTTGTTTCTTACAATCTAGCAGATCCTTACTCCGACTGGGAAGAGAGGGTAGGGGTGGTAGGTGTACGTACTGAATGATTTCAAGCGCTTTAGCTATCTTCCCGGCAAAACCAAAGCCGCGGCAAAGAGGCACATACTACAAACTCCGCTGGCCAATAACATACGCATGCGCACAGTCTTTGTCTTCTTCTTCCTCCCGGCAAACCTTGGAATATAATAAACAATTATTGGATGAGGTTGAGCATGATATCATGAATTATCAAAACCGAGGTCTGTTTTATCTGCCGAAGCCGAAGGCTGAGGCAGATAATACAGACACAAGGGTTTTGATAATTCATGATATCATGCGAAAACCGAATTCAATAAATTTTGTTTTAGTTTACATTTTTTAGACAATAGGCAAAAGAAGACATTCATCTGTTCAGCCATTCTGTTTCTGAGGAGAACACTCCAAGGGGCTTGGTAACCAGGCAGACGTTGAACTTGACATGATAAATGCAATATCTGCAGCAGATATTGCATTTATCATGTCAAGTTCACAAGCTATTGTGAATTGATTGAATGCTCTCGACCAATCAGATTTTTCATTGTGAGTCTGATGTATAATAATAGCATTTCTCAATGTCAAAGAACATATTTTTAACTATTACGAGAGTAATAATTTATTAACTCTATTGTCTTTAGATTATGAAAACAAACAGCAAGGAAGGAATTCAAAACTAAGCGCGTTAATGGTGTATGGAGACTCAATAGGTGTTCATTACTACAGGCTAGCAACAAACCGTCCTTTGTGTAAAGACTTATTTCGCACTTGTAACAAGAAGTACATGTGGACGTATGATGTAAGTTGGAAAATATTAATGTCCTTTCTCTCAATTGCTTCTTTATTTTTTTTGGAATAGTGGAAAAGAAAGAATGCTGGAACCGGAGAAGGAAAATATAATCAATTTGAATCAGAGTAAAAATGAATGAAACTACAGAAATTTTAAGAGACTGGATACTTTTCAGAATAATAAAATTGTTAAAAAATCCATGAGCGTTCCGTTTAAGGAACTATGATGCTAATCACAGCACCATGATATATGATGATGATCGAATCTGAAGTGGCAAAACCATCCGAATATCGAGAAAACGTTACCCAGCTGTACTACTTCCATGCTATATAAAATGCTCATATAATGAACATCGTTTAATGAAAATAATTCATCCTTTTGATTGACCGAGAAATAACTGCCTACAAATAATGGACTGCTCATGCGCAATGTCGTCCAACTGTGTTGGGCTTAAGTGTTGGGCTAAAGTATTGGGCTTAAGTGTGGGCTGCAAATAATATTCTGCTCATGCGTAAATGATACCACGCTTTTCTCCTTCTTCAGCGATCGCTCTTGCATGAAAATGGAAGATCCGCTTCGCTTCTGCAATCAGGATATTCATTAACAACAAACTCGGTGATCGAATGATAAATAACTATTGAACTTGGTTATCGCAAAATATCGTCATTTGTCAGTGTCTCGCAGATCAATTATTTGCTGAAGCGGAAGGCTGCTGCTCGCCACTGACAAATCAGGATATTTGGCTCAACCTCAGTCGTCTAAAAATTGTTTTAGCAATAATTGGACTTAAGAGACTTTAAAAAGACTTAGAGGGTTTAAAAGACTTTAAAGTAGTATTTGCACAATTTTCCAAGTTTTCTTAGATTATTCTTAATCCAGCCGGGTCGTATTTTTGTTACCCTGCGAGCAGAGACTACATTTTGGTGGTATGAGCTGGCGTGCGAAAAGTAGCTACTTTCGAACGCCAGCTCATACCGCGAAAATGTAGCCTCTGCTCGCATGGTATATTTTTGTGCATTCTTTATCGCGAAATTTGTAATTTGGTGCTAGTTGTTTAGTTCAGTAACTATCCTTTTTCTAGGCTGAATGGCAAAGGAATGACAGCAATGACTTTAACCAAAGTATTGTACTTGGAGAAATCAAACAGCTGTTGACCAGACCTACCATGAAAGGAAACCGAAGCGTTTTCTTCTTTAACATTGGCATCCACTACTCCATGTCACTTAACCTGACGACATATCAAAGGTTGATCGACAGTGTAATCAAGATGTTAAAACAAGACAGTGGTACAGGGGACGAAAATAGAACGCAAAGCAGCGAGACTCTTTCCATCTGGAGAAGCAGCACGGCTATTGAAGCTGAAAATTTTGGAAAAACCTTTTGGGGAGAAAACTTGACAGAGTGGAGATTCCATAACAACCCGGTAAGTCAAGAGCTACCAGAAAAAGTTCTACCATAGACTTCCGCTTATAAACCCTGAGCTTATGCATCTCTTCCTAAGGGTTTTAAGGGGGGCTTATAAACGGAGTGGGTTATATCCTAGGGGGCTTTTAACCAGAAAAGGAAAACCGCTTAGAAACAAGCCGGTTTAGCAGTGCTGATCAAAATACGTTTTGCAGTTAATGGTTTTCAATCAAGTTTTAAAACCTCACTGATAAATCGAATCCATTTCAGTACATTTGGGGTGGGGCTAATATACGGGGGTTGCTTATAATCGGATGTGTTTTTTTTTGTTTACAGGTAGATAGGTGTATAACTTTCAGGGGGCATATATAAGTGGGGGAGCTTATAAGTAGCAGTTAACGTAACTTTTGACGCGTATTTTCCTAGACGTTTCTTGGAAAATCGAGCTCGAGAAAAAAGAAGTCGCGTCATCATTACGTCATTTCCAATTACCATGGTCTATTCAACAGTTATATTTCATGGTCTGATAGACCCTAGTTCTCTGCCGATCAGGGCGAGTCTAATACAGGTGACTTAGCCAGAAATTTAGCGTGGCCAAAGCTGATTTAAATCAGTTTAATCGTGATTGGTTATGACCTCTATCAAAAAAACCTTGTGCGAAGTTTTTAGCTTCTCTTTTGGTATAAGGTAATTGAAAGAAATAAGGTCGAGTTAGCTAGTTAGTTAGTCAGGTATTTAGTTGGTTAGTTAGTTAGTTAATTAATTACTTAGTTACTTAGTAACTAAGGGAAGGAACCCCAACCCCTACCAAGTCATACCAATTACAAAGCACAACTGTTGTTTTTTCGTTAAAGAATGTTTATAAGCATTAACAGAGTTTTATTCAAAATGGCAATGGCCTGTGTATTGCATATGAGACAAAGAGGGGCTCTCTACTCGCTACCTTCGCTTCAGTATATCCGGCGATATAAATCTCACTATTTTCTTTTATTCGAAAGAGAGTTCAGCTCTTCAATACCTACGCCACAAGCGCCATGTGCAAGGCAGGGATTCCAGTTCTTGATATGTACCCGCTGACCGCTGCATGGCCAAAAGGGACACGGGATTCCATTCACTACACCGACGAACCTATGGAGCCTGCGGTTAGCATTTTGCAACGTTACCTTGTGGAAAAGTTACTGAAAACTTGACGTTTGGAGTCTTTGCTGTAATATGAAAATGAAAGATTTTATTATTTATTATAACCTTTTCTCTTGTTGTTGAGAGAAAATTGATGTTGGTCATTCTTAAAGCTTTAAGGGTTAAAAATGAAATGACGACCACTGTTTTCACTTTAATAGGCTGATTTAACAATATAACGGGAACGTCAGTTGACGACGGCGCACGCAAACAAACAACTGGCTTGACCAATGGCAGAGTGGCAAATTGGGCACCGGAATTCGAGTTTAGTCTTTTCCGCGCGCTTTCTCGTCGTCAAATGACGTTCTCGTTCTGTTACTAAATCAGCAATCGTCACGAGGACCATGTTAGATTCCATGTGCCGTGCGTCTGTTCAGTAACAGATCATAGATGATGTAAAAAAGGTGGTAAAAACAAAGAAGTGGCACACGAGCGGCAGGCGAGTGCGTCACTGATGGGCAACACAGAATCTATTTGTTTTATACAATGATCAGAAAAGAAATAAGACCAAAGAGATACACATACGTGTCTCATACCTCTTGACTATTCAAGGATTTGGGCTAGTTTAGGCATTTTTTAAATTCCCAAACGCTATTTTTCGTCTCTGGTTCTTATTTTTTCTTTATCTTACTTGTAAACAGTTTCTTCAAAACGTTTTGCAACGTCTTCACTTGCTCAAAGCAAAGTAATAATGGCGAAAACATTTTGCAAAATCTGTGAGTCTCTCGTAGCGATGACACACGATAACTGTTGTGAAGTTCTCTTACGGTTTAGGCATTCTGAAGCTGAATGCCCAACCCTAACTGATAAATGATAATGTTAATAACCACCGTTCTGATAGAAAATCGTGATTTAATCACAGCAAAACCTCTAAAACTCGAATTGGGATAACTCCCCGCTAACTCGAACTAAATTTCTCCCCTGATCAAAATTTCACTGAAATTTACTCCTACAACTCCAACTCCGGTTCTTGCAACTTCACTCGGTTGTTATCCCTTTACTCCTCTTGTTGTATAATCTGTAAATACTCTAACAATTTCATTTTAATTGGTGCAACGAACAGATCCAGTTTTATCATAAAAATGCCTGATCATGTTACCGTTTCTAATGAAATAAGTAAATTTGCACTGTACTACACACTGAGGTGCCAGTCTGCGAGCAAGCTGTCATGGGCGCCCCGGGAGAGCTTGCTCGCACGCTAATGAAGTGCTGGAAATCAATAACTATAAATTATAAATTTAAACGACGGCAAATTGAACTCGAACTGTTTTTGTCTCTCGTGAACACGCACAGCGTTCAAGTTACCGGGATTCTACTGTACTTTCAAAAAGCACACACACACAATAAATAAATTTTTAAAAACATGAAATCAAACCAAATCAGAAGCCTTGTAAACTGGGTGAGCTTTGTACACTGAGTGATTGTAGAGCTAAAACTGATTTAAACGACCTACACCACCAGGTTTCCTCGTTGTATGAGGCAACTGTGAACGCTTGGTTATTTTCGTCGTCATGGGCGTCTTCTATCACAAGGAAAAAATAACGAGTACGAGTACAGCACCAGCAAATAAAAAGAATCCGAATTAATTTACAGTGGGACCTCTATTCAAGGACCCTCTCGGGACCGAGGAAAGTGTCCCCTGAAAAGAGCTTGGGCTGGGTTTTTTTAATAATTAACCAACAAAGAAAATATATTGTTTTTATTTTACTTCTAAATCTGTTGCTGTTGTTATTTTAAGCAGCTAGATAATGTTTAAAAGAAATTATACGATTGACTTTTCTCTGCGATATTGTGTGTCGATTTTCTATATTGTGAAAGCTGTAATTACTGTGATCAGTGGCATACACTTTTAACTTATCAAGCAACCCTCTTTATGGCCAGTCACGTTTCAAATACTAAAGTTTCCCCTGAATGGTGGTTAAACCTACGTTTCGGGATACAGAAAAAGTATTCCTTAACCCCGAATATAGAGGTGTCCCTTCAGTAGAGATAAAAGATACAAAGATTATGTGAACATTTTTCCGGGACCAAATTTTGTGTCCCCTGAATGGAGGTGTGTGTCCCTTGAACAGAGATGACCGAAAGGAGAGGTTTCACTGTAATTAAGTAATGTGCCATTGGCGCTGCGTGTCTGAGCTGCTAATAAATAAAGTTCTTTACTGCAGATTATAATGAACCTTAGCAACTGGATCCAGAACAAACCTTCTAATGGCGTTGGATTGATACCTGAACAATTAACTCGCGTCAAAGAGAGATTTCATAGAGTCATTTTTAAGGAAAATAAGAGAGATTAAGAATCTCTTTTATGGAAAACGTTTAACGTTTTTCCCTTTTCTAAAAGAGGCCTGACCTCTGCTCGTAGCGAAGTTTAAAACTGTTCGTAAAATCCATATAAAATAAGGATTGTTTTGTTCCAAGTAGAAATGTCAGAAACATGTAAATAAATGGAAAATTTTCAAAGAACTAAAAAAAAAAAACAGATACAAGTACATATTAAGTTTAAGATTACTCAGTAAACTTTATGAAATGGTGGCTGGGGGAAAGAAGCGTTTAAGGGTGGATGGCCGCTGTCGCCTAATTCTTAGGTGCTTAATTACGCGCGTAAGAGTTACGTGTGTAAATAAAACAGAGGTAAATTATGAAGGTCGCCCGTAAACGTCGTTAACGTTAAAAGTTGAGCGAGGTTCAACTTTTACGTTTACGAAAATGAAGAAAAGATCGTCGCAGTGAACGCGTTTTATGCAATTGCGTAAAGAAGCCTGAAAAAAGTTCAGGACTTCAAAGGGGTTTGAACCCGTGACCTCGCGATACCGGTGCGATGCTCTACCAACTGAGCTATGAAGTCACTGACGTTGGGAGCAGGTCATACTTATTGTTCGACCCTCCATACATTGGCTCTATTTCACTTGAGCGCTTAAAATTTTCGTGTGTATCCACGTAAAAAATACGCAACAATGTAAATTCACCTTAACAAACGACGACCGTGTGTTGTATTCGATAATAACACACTCCAATCAACAAATGTACTTCCACAGACCAACGAGCTAGGTTACGCCTCCAATGACATTTGTTACAGCCTATCTCTGTCAGTCGAAGATTTAAAGGAGCTGTGTCACGGCAGTCCAGTTCATTTTGTTTAATTTTGCCAATTACTCGCCCTCAGTCGATATGGAACTTAAAGTAAGCAAAGAAATTACAGGTAAATGACAGAATCAGAGATCCAAGACAAACCAATATATCTTCTGAGCATTATTTCTGAAGTTGTAAGCAGCAGGGATCAACTTTGAAAAACTGTTAGGCTGAACAGTTTTCAAACATCCTGATTTCAATCCGTTTCAATCTTTTTCAGTTTTGCCCATCCGTGACATCTGTTGTATCTGTTATGATATTTTAACCTTCAGTTAAAGTTTGAAGCGGTTCTTTTTATGTTTCTCTTAATTTAACGTGCATTTTGTAATTTCCTAATTTGGCTGAATTTCGTGCCACAGCTCCTTTATAATGTAACTGCCGCTTTATAGTAGACATAACTGTTGAAAGCGTTCAGAAAGAAAACGTTCTAAGGCAAGGACTGCAGGCTCAATTACGTCATCGCTATAATGGATATGATCCCGGGTGCCGTGCGGCCATGTAGCGGTCAGCGGATAAATATCAAGAACAGGAATTCCAGCCATGCACATTTCCCAAGTGGCAAATTTATTAAACAGCTGCACCCTCTGCAAGAACAAGAAAGAAAAATATATACCGGTAAATGGAGCACTGCACTTATAAACAGCGTTAGTCTCGACATCACAATACAGGAAAAACGCTTAACCTCCAGCTAATAAAATGACGCACCGAAAGGTATCTTGAGGTTTCTATACGTTTGTTTGCTTGTTTCAACTTTTTTCTCAACTTTTGATTTTGGGTTTCAAATAATTGACTGAAAACCCCTTTAACTACTCACTACAAAATCAATATATAAAGAAAAGTACAGTTATCTGAAACTTGAAGAGGGAGTTACGAACCGACAACTTTTAGCTGCACGCACGTTCAGTTTACATATCCTCAAAAGTGACCAAGTATGAAGGTAATATGAATATTTTGATGCATTTTTTTAAAACTCTAATCTTTTCAGTACAATGAGGGGAGAAAATGACCGATATTAAGAGGAAATTTAAACTCCCATCCTACTTTTTTACAGTACTCGGTGAATGAAAAAAAGGAGACTACCGGACTTGTATGGAATCTCCATTTAGTTAAGTTGTCTCCTGCATACAGCTTCTTTAAATGTTCTCTCTCAATTGCTGTACTGCTCCTCCAGATCTGTAATGCTTTACTGCCCAGGCTATCCCGCTTTAGCAAAGTAATCAGGGATTGTATCAACCTACGATAGGTCGTGAAGTTAAGCACCAGTGAATAATGAATACCAACGTTGAAGAAGAACACGCTATGATTTCCAGTCATCTCAGGTCTTGTAAGGATTTGCTTGATCTCTTCAAGGATAATAGTTTGGTTGAAATCATTACCGTCGTCTCCTCTCCATTCAGCCTTAAATGAGGCGAAATATAATATCAAAATATAATTTAATATCTAACAAAGACTTCAGAGATTTAATCCCTCAGTATTGAGAGGGATAACGGGTACACGCACTTAATTTTGTCCGTCAATTAGCCTGCGTAGTGGTCCCATATCAAAAATAAAAGATACAGCCGCGCCGCGAAAATTGAACCGAGGTCGAATCAGAAAACGGTAGGAGAGGGAGCTAAGGGAGGCAATACATTCATTCTACAGATATTTCGTTTACGACCCTGGGTATTTGTCTGGTCCCGGATGAATCCGCGACCTCCCCAAGACACGCCAAGCCGTCAGGCTGGACAGGTTATGGACAGACTGGTTAAGGACGTAAACACAGTCCAGTAATATGATTCCGGCTCTGAAAGTTGTTTTCATAATAACTGCATTTGCCTTAACTGCCTCAAAGGTATAACCCATGTCTACTATATGTTTTGAAACTCACATCGTAAATCCACATGTATTTATTATTACATTCAAGAAACATCTCTTTGCAAAGTGGCCGCGACTTGGCAAGTTTATGATAGTGAACACCCATGGAATCTCCATAAACACAGAGCGTCTGGAGTCTCTTGCTCTTGGCCTGGTAATGGTACCTCTTGGTCAGATCCTCTGAAGAGGAAAACAAGTTATCTTCAGTGATACTTACAGTTACAATAATCCAGTAGAAAAAATAAAAATAATTACTAGTGTTCATGGGTGTCAATGAAGAGTTGTCAATTTTCCCATTAGCTTAAAACTCATACGCATCTTCCGAGGGTACTGAACACCTGGGGGATAAGTACTCGTTTAAAAAAAAATACCCTGCTGAGGAGCTTAAGTGCGTGAGAAATCAAAAGGCGCACCCACGCTCGCCCGATGTCTTCACTCTCTTTCGTAAAACGCCTCTCCCAGGCTACCAAAGAAACAGTGAATTAAATGGCACGTTGGACAGTTTTTGAGGATATCGCAAACTGTCTCAGAACTCAAACGGTTTGCCGATCCTTTTACACAGACCAACGAGCTAGGTTACGCCTCCAATGACATTTGTTACAGCCTATCTCTGTCAGTCGAAGATTTAAAGGAGCTGTGTCACGGCAGTCCAGTTCATTTTGTTTAATTTTGCCAATTACTCGCCCTCAGTCGATATGGAACTTAAAGTAAGCAAAGAAATTACAGGTAAATGACAGAATCAGAGATCCAAGACAAACCAATATATCTTCTGAGCATTATTTCTGAAGTTGTAAGCAGCAGGGATCAACTTTGAAAAACTGTTAGGCTGAACAGTTTTCAAACATCCTGATTTCAATCCGTTTCAATCTTTTTCAGTTTTGCCCATCCGTGACATCTGTTGTATCTGTTATGATATTTTAACCTTCAGTTAAAGTTTGAAGCGGTTCTTTTTATGTTTCTCTTAATTTAACGTGCATTTTGTAATTTCCTAATTTGGCTGAATTTCGTGCCACAGCTCCTTTATAATGTAACTGCCGCTTTATAGTAGACATAACTGTTGAAAGCGTTCAGAAAGAAAACGTTCTAAGGCAAGGACTGCAGGCTCAATTACGTCATCGCTATAATGGATATGATCCCGGGTGCCGTGCGGCCATGTAGCGGTCAGCGGATAAATATCAAGAACAGGAATTCCAGCCATGCACATTTCCCAAGTGGCAAATTTATTAAACAGCTGCACCCTCTGCAAGAACAAGAAAGAAAAATATATACCGGTAAATGGAGCACTGCACTTATAAACAGCGTTAGTCTCGACATCACAATACAGGAAAAACGCTTAACCTCCAGCTAATAAAATGACGCACCGAAAGGTATCTTGAGGTTTCTATACGTTTGTTTGCTTGTTTCAACTTTTTTCTCAACTTTTGATTTTGGGTTTCAAATAATTGACTGAAAACCCCTTTAACTACTCACTACAAAATCAATATATAAAGAAAAGTACAGTTATCTGAAACTTGAAGAGGGAGTTACGAACCGACAACTTTTAGCTGCACGCACGTTCAGTTTACATATCCTCAAAAGTGACCAAGTATGAAGGTAATATGAATATTTTGATGCATTTTTTTAAAACTCTAATCTTTTCAGTACAATGAGGGGAGAAAATGACCGATATTAAGAGGAAATTTAAACTCCCATCCTACTTTTTTACAGTACTCGGTGAATGAAAAAAAGGAGACTACCGGACTTGTATGGAATCTCCATTTAGTTAAGTTGTCTCCTGCATACAGCTTCTTTAAATGTTCTCTCTCAATTGCTGTACTGCTCCTCCAGATCTGTAATGCTTTACTGCCCAGGCTATCCCGCTTTAGCAAAGTAATCAGGGATTGTATCAACCTACGATAGGTCGTGAAGTTAAGCACCAGTGAATAATGAATACCAACGTTGAAGAAGAACACGCTATGATTTCCAGTCATCTCAGGTCTTGTAAGGATTTGCTTGATCTCTTCAAGGATAATAGTTTGGTTGAAATCATTACCGTCGTCTCCTCTCCATTCAGCCTTAAATGAGGCGAAATATAATATCAAAATATAATTTAATATCTAACAAAGACTTCAGAGATTTAATCCCTCAGTATTGAGAGGGATAACGGGTACACGCACTTAATTTTGTCCGTCAATTAGCCTGCGTAGTGGTCCCATATCAAAAATAAAAGATACAGCCGCGCCGCGAAAATTGAACCGAGGTCGAATCAGAAAACGGTAGGAGAGGGAGCTAAGGGAGGCAATACATTCATTCTACAGATATTTCGTTTACGACCCTGGGTATTTGTCTGGTCCCGGATGAATCCGCGACCTCCCCAAGACACGCCAAGCCGTCAGGCTGGACAGGTTATGGACAGACTGGTTAAGGACGTAAACACAGTCCAGTAATATGATTCCGGCTCTGAAAGTTGTTTTCATAATAACTGCATTTGCCTTAACTGCCTCAAAGGTATAACCCATGTCTACTATATGTTTTGAAACTCACATCGTAAATCCACATGTATTTATTATTACATTCAAGAAACATCTCTTTGCAAAGTGGCCGCGACTTGGCAAGTTTATGATAGTGAACACCCATGGAATCTCCATAAACACAGAGCGTCTGGAGTCTCTTGCTCTTGGCCTGGTAATGGTACCTCTTGGTCAGATCCTCTGAAGAGGAAAACAAGTTATCTTCAGTGATACTTACAGTTACAATAATCCAGTAGAAAAAATAAAAATAATTACTAGTGTTCATGGGTGTCAATGAAGAGTTGTCAATTTTCCCATTAGCTTAAAACTCATACGCATCTTCCGAGGGTACTGAACACCTGGGGGATAAGTACTCGTTTAAAAAAAAATACCCTGCTGAGGAGCTTAAGTGCGTGAGAAATCAAAAGGCGCACCCACGCTCGCCCGATGTCTTCACTCTCTTTCGTAAAACGCCTCTCCCAGGCTACCAAAGAAACAGTGAATTAAATGGCACGTTGGACAGTTTTTGAGGATATCGCAAACTGTCTCAGAACTCAAACGGTTTGCCGATCCTTTTATAAAGCAAGAGGACATCCAACAATGTTTCGATTACAGGGCAATCACTTTAATTTTGATGTGAAGTATTTAATGTCATAAAATAATTGTATGTTGACGAATGATTTTACTCAGTGGAAACACTGTGTGGGAGAATTGCATTGTATGAACAGCACGTCATTTTATTTTTAGTTTGCATCTATCTAGTAGAGATTGTAAACTAAAGTTAGTGACCTTCAGGGATGTATAGATTCCATTTCCTTTTGATCCATCGTCCAAAGCCATCCCACAGCAAAGAACAATCGACGTTGCACGATAATTTTGACAAAGATGTGTCACCAGATCCTTTTCTTAACCGTTGATTGTAACTGTAGAAGCCTGTTGAGTTGGCAAACATGAACGATGACAGCTACCCAAACAAACGCAGAGAAGGGCAAAAGCTTTTAGAATAGATTTAAAACACTTAGAAATGACTCTCTTCTGTTTGCTTCTTTCCATTTTTGGGAACACGTTCGGTAACGGATGGCAGGACGCGAGCCACTTTGTTTTCACGAAGTGCTTATTTTCATATTACTTAATTACTTCACATTTGAAAGAATTATCTCAAACGAGCGTCTATCCATGTAGACATTTCATCAGCGTCAATCTTTTACAACTACTCTATTAATTAGGAAACCTTATTCATGATATCCACCATCTTTGCACATGCTTTGGTATCGATTGGATAAAAGTAATGTCACGTGGTATTTCAGAGGAAGTGATAACACTTGCTAACAAGAGTGATCGCGGTCGAATTTTTTTATTCTTTAAACACGAGACTGCGATTTTAGTCTTGAAAAATGTGCAGTTCGAGCATGGATAATAGAAAGACTGGCCAGTCGTCTTTCTGTTATCCATGGTCCGACCTTCGATAGATTTTACGTCATTCACTTTCTGTGGTGACAACTACCGTCACCGCTGTGGGATCCAAAAAATGATCAAAGATGACTTCTAACCATACCTTGCCATTATGATCGTCTTTAAGATAAGATTGAAGTTCTTCAATAAATTTCTGTTTAGCCTGCGAGCAAGCTCTCCTATTTGAGCTAGCGAAGCGAGTCTCGCGAGAACGCACAATCTCGACTGCAATTTTTTCTTACATTGGTAAATTTTATCACTTGTTTGACCCCTGAAAAACCAGTGCGTTTTATCCTATCAGTCCTTAAGAGCATGCAAAGATCACAGGAATCTTGAATGAGGTCTATTAGGCTTAACGTTGTGTCAGACAGTACCAAAAAAACTCCTTTAAATATTTATGGAGCACGAAAATTCCCCACCCCCGTCACGACTTTACAATGGTCCACCCCCTTAGCTTGTCAGAGCCTACTATTGAATTCCACGATAAATACTTTATTGCAGAGACAAAAGTTACCTCTAGTGACTCACTTACTGACATGCATAATTTCAGGCTATTGATTTCTCCTTTCCGATTCTTTGGCAAAAAAGGAAAAAACAGAAAACAACAACAACAACAACAACAATAACGGCAAACAAACAAACAAACAAACAAAAGTTATTCTTACCGTTTGTTTTGTTTGATTCCTTGATATAAATATTTACAGATTTTCCACTTTGCAAAGGCGAGTTAATGTAATCGATACTGATATCTCCAAGGATACCATGCTCTTGCTCATAGCCATGAATATTACCTACAAAATAACAACAAAGTGAATTTATTATAATAACTGAGTTACTTTTTTGGCATTATTTTGACGCGTCTCAACCCAAAGAATGAATATAATCTGATAATGCATGTAAATGGGAAAACCCTTACCTTTACTAAGCTGTATTTCAGTAAATGACTTATAAATGACGATACATAATTTGATGATAACTGTGTTTCTATTTTTGCACCAAGTGCAAATATAGGACCAAATAGGACCTGGAAATAGTTGTCCGATCTAAAGGTACGGAAAAAAAGGCAACAAAAACGTGCAATTTGTCTCGCAACATTGCTGCCAAACGAGTTAAATAACGATGTTGCGCGTTTTACCACCCACATAAAACCTGTCTGGCAACAAATCAGGTTGTTAACAGGTTTTATGTGGGTGGTAAAATGCGCAACATCGCTATTCAGCTAGTTCTGCAGCAATGATGCAAAACGAGTTGCACGTTTTTTGTTGCCCGTTTTTCCGTACCGTAAGGCCTTCCTGTAGTCCAGGCCCCCAGTTGTTAAAAAAAGGACAACGCTCTCGGGTGGATAAAAGTCTATCCACTGGATAGCGCAATTTTTACCATAATACTTATCCGCTGGATGGTGATTGGTCCAGTAGATAGCGCCATTCATCATTTGAAAAACTGCGGCATAACGTAATTTTGACGTCATAGCAGAAAAAAAAAACAACTGATTAGTCCATTTTCGACCTTGACGCCTTTTAAATCGTTAAACCTTCAACCTAGCAGCTAGGGCAAACTCATCAACCCGGAGTGTTTTGTAATCCCTATCTGAGCATCGTTCTACGCATCTTCAACGGTCCAAGGACATGCAGCTAAACGTACCTGGCATTAATCAATTGTTGCCTAATTTTTTGTGTGATTCACCACTAAGTTACCTCTGATAAACCAATCCTCCGGTGGGTCTCTGAAACCTTCACAGAGCGTGTAGTCAAGGAATACCTGGGCTGAGTAGTTCCCAGGCTCCAGCGCAAGGAACATGACCTCATATGTTCCATCATCATTGTCTGTTACCATGGGCGCAAGGGATGCTGGGCCTCGTCTAATGTACACCCTCCATGAATCGCCTCCAGTTCTCTTGAGGTTTCCATCGCTGGTCACAGACTGGATAAAGAAACGGCTGAATTCCCCTGACGTTAACGAAAAACTGATAAATAATAACTTTTAATAAGTATTAATACAATAGTAATAATATAAATGATGATAACGAGAACGATAATGATAATAGTAAACATAATGATGATGATGATGATGATGACGAGTTCCTATCATCTGCCATTAAAACTGGTCGACCAGAATGAAGTTTCTCACGAGAAGTTTTGGTCTAGAAATAAGCTGAGCAGCTCCCAGAATAGGGAGTCAGATGGTTGGGTTTCTTGGTCGAAAGTTGTAGCTAATTTAATGTAAAAAGCTAATTATATACATAGAATAAAATTGTATATCCTCTGCAGGAATGCAATGCCATATGAAAAAATTACGTCAGTTGTACCACAGTGTAACCGTCAGTTATGTACGACTCATGTAGCTAATTCTATCACAAATGATATGATATGACCATTTGACTCACTTTTACCAGTGAGAGGAAAGCAGCGAACATTTCTTCCAGCACTTGCGATTTAAGTAAGGATAAAAAATTAAACACAGTACTAATTAATTATTAACCTTGAGGTTTTATTTCCAATCTGGAAATAAAACTTTTCTTTGCATCAGTTCGGTTTGTAGGATTTAATTCTCTGTCTTTCCATGCCATCTTACGGCGGCAGCTTGAAACTAATCCTTCCCAGTCCACGCGCGATCTTTGAAGACGGCACCAGTCAGAGAGAAAGCTTTCATCGTCACGTGGCATTCGATAAGTACTAACATCGCTATGGTAAGACCTAGTGGTCGGATGTTTATAGTTGAAGTATTGGTGCGCAATTATTACTACAGAAACAATCAAGCAAAAGCAGTGAAGAAGCTTTTGCTTTCTTGATGTTATCATCTGTTTCTATACAACCTGAAATTAGAAAGGGAATCGAAAGGAAAATTAATATCATGCTTCAGTTAAATGAACTGTCACACGACATAAGTCGGATTGGTTTTAGCAGCTTACAACTAAACTCAAAGATTCACTTCACACAACCGTCTCTTTTATAATAAACCTAAATTTACAAAGCAGCCGAGTTTAAACTCTATACACAAAGTATTCACAGATGGCGTGCTTTGCTTACTCTACATTTGCAATTTCAGCAACTTAATACGGTTTTCTAATATTAGTTCCATGTGACATGCAGTCAACTTGCCTCTTATTTCTTAGCAACCAAATTAATTTGCTTCTTTCATGCGTTACATTGACTTTGAAGCATTGCGTTCATTATAATAACAGGTAAAACCAAAGTTATTAGAGGAGACTGGTTATGAAAAGCGGCAAACATCAATGATAAAAACAACAGTGCTGCAGTTTATGTTGGAAGCACCCTGAAAGTGTACAATCCTTTGTTTTCTGTTGGCAAATTGTTACGGAATAAATTAATGCAACGTTTTTATTGGTCAATACAATCAAAATGATAGGAATTCTTTTGAACGTTGTGCACTTTCAGGTCCACAAAAACATATAACAAAGGAGTCTGACGGGTTTCATAACCATTCCACTCAATTAACTATGGTAAAACTTAAGTGAATAGACTCTTTAGCTCAAATGTTTTGTTTTGGCGTTTCAGTTCATGTGATGTTACCCAAGAGAACTGTTTTCTGGGCTGCTTGCCATTTACATGGAAAAATCAAAATGGCTCGCACCATTCTGCTTCATAAAATATGGGCTGTGATCATGAAATATGGGCTGTGATTTGAGGTGATGCGATTTTTCTACTCTCTTTAGTCTGTTTAGGAATATATTTTTTTTATAATGGGTCGTTCCCATCACATTAAACAGTTAAATTTTGTAGTTTAATTTTTATGAACAAGATATCCACCCGATTGGTTTATGTAAATGGTAAGCACCCCAGGCTTTCAAATGTTGTTCTGTTCCAGTCCATCCACCCGGGTGTATTAATTTGTATAAAAAGAATCCCTTCAGAAAATCACGTGATATGACTTGGTAAAACAAAATATACAAACTAATTAAAAAGCTTATCCGATTCTCATAGCATCTTAAAGTCTGAAGTGTTCACACAACTTGTATGACTTCGTTCGCCGAAGATGACCGAAGATGAACTTCGATTCATACCTAAAACACCACGCTCAAGGCTAATATAATTATGCTGCGGTAAGATATTTGAATTATATGTCAATCAAACGTCAAGCTAATTGCTATATCCATTTAATATATCCCGTTTTCAACAATACAGCATTAAAGTTAATAGCCTTACGAGCAGGCTCACTTATGCCAACTCGGGAAAATTTCTGGCGGCTGGACCGTCATCCAGCGAGCACTTTTCCCCGAGTTCTCCTCGCGCGATTGCGGCCCCGCTGCCAAAAAAGTTTCCCCCACGCCGCACAAGTGAGCCTGGTAGCAGGCTAAGCTTTTAGAGAAACTAAGAGAAACTAGCAAAGAGCCAATTAAACGCCAGATATCATGCTTCGAGTTCTCAGATAGAAGAAACTTAAACCGTGTTTTCAGTCGTCTGATTCATTTGAAAAAAATAGGCTATAACGCTCTTAACTCACCTAATATTCAGATATGTTGTTGTTTTTGCTTTGACAGCAGGATAAATGGCGGCTCAGCAATAATCCTATGAAAAAATAAGCCAAAGTGCTCGAGTCGAGACCCGAGTCTCGCCTGATGCAGTGCTGATAAAAGCTAGAAAATTAGGTTCTTTAATGCTGGAAATAAGATATCCTGGCCTTTGCAACAAAAATTGTTTATGTAATTTTTATTCAAACATTGTTGCGAATCTCTCGTCATCTCCCTGGCCAACAATTGTCTTCTATTTTCAGGCAACATATTTTTTACCAGCTTTAGATCTTTTACACAACAGGTCTTATTGACACTGACATTTTCATGTTGAATTTGCATTTAAAACAACTTAAATTGCATGCCCTATCTTAAATATTTGGGCGCGAATTTACCTAGAGTGTAAAACTTGACCCGGTGAACGATAATAAACCGTTCCGACCATTTTTAGGGAACCTGCACCCGTTCTAGAAAAGTTAATTCCCTTCATAACAACGCCTAGTCGTTTTTGTTTATCTTTTTCTCTAAGTTAGAGAAAATCTTTGAAGGTACACAAAGCTCAATAGCATTTCTACCATTTTTAGCTGGCCAACGGAAACGTCCCATTGGCTTATCGAGTCACATTTTCTGAACAAAAAAATAAAAGCGCACGGCCAGGGAACCCAACAAAACCACAGCAGCACAGGTTGTCATCTTCGATTTTTGCCGCCCTTCATATACAGTCAATTTCCTTAGCCCTCGCCTTGAGTCGCAAAAATCTCTTGAGAAAGACGCCGCCTTTTGAAATTCGGGGTTCATTCTCTTGTACTAAGTATGGTTTTGAGTCGTTTACAGCCAATCGCTAATCTCCTGCACAAGTCAGGGATGTCCATACACCGAGTCCTTCACAGATTCGTGGCAAATAACTGTTTTTATTGTCATTCTTTTCAATCAGTTATTTACAAGATGTTATTTTGAAGCACTGTAATATCGTTCATTGTACTCTTTCATGACATTAGTTTTATTGTTTCAAATTGCTTTGCTTTTTGGAATGGCAATGACAACTCCTATGAGGTTAAAACAAACAAACGAACAAATAAACAAAAAAACACCTCTAGAAAACTGTTTTTCAACGTTCTCATATTGACGCAAAATGTATGAAAAGACAGGACAAAATTCCCTTGAGAACATCATGAACTAGCCTGAATTTCATCCGATTACTTGTTGAGGGGAGAAAACGACTCGAAGCATCGGATGAATTTCACGCTAATCATGAACTGCATTGGGAAAACAATTGAACAAGCAAAGAACTACAACCACAATCAAAAGCCTTAGTGTAGGCTTACATTCCATGAGTTTTTATTTATTTCCGAATTCATTAATGTTTGCAGATTTATTACATTTAAGGTATTCCGATTTATAATGAGCGTTTACACACATCAGTGAATTCAAGAACATTCATTCGGACACAAACTACCTGCTTAAGGTTCCGGATTCAAAGTTCCACTCACCCGTTTATGAGCCGCAAAACGAATCTGATACCAAAATTTTTCAGAATACCCACGAATTGGGCAAAATCTCCTCTAGAGCTTAAAAGGTGCTATCTCATCGCTATTTTTGTTTAAAACGTGTCTCCGCGTCAACTGAATCCTAAACTGTTTCTGTTTTCTGTTATTACCGATGGCATAGCACAGAATTGACCGAAAATAGCAATATCCTTCTGTTGTAGCCCCTTTAATTGCAATCAAACTATAGCTGTACACTGATGTTGTTTGCATTCATTCAGGTGATAAGCATTTAAGATTTTCCTTTGGAAATTTCTTCTTTTATCTCTTGATTAGAAAGTAAACCAATACTAACAATGGCGAGGAAACAACCTGGCATGCGGTCGCTACTTTTGGCGGATCGTTTCTCTCAAGAGCTGTTGCTTTCGGGATTTAACAACAAACATCTTACTTTAGGAGGAAGGAAAGTTCACAGTAGAAGGGTAGAAGTTCAACGGGTGGAGACGGAGAAAAAAGTCATTAATGTGATTACAAGAAGGAGTTCTATTTTTCATTAAACTCTTACACCGCTTTTTCGTCCCGAATACTTCGTCTATAATTTTATTTCGCACAAATAAGCCTCCTTTCCTTGTGAACGTATTTGTTGGTCTTAAGCCTTGTACCTACCCTAAGATCAGGCTCAATTTTCATTTCGCTTTGTAAATAACATTCCGGAGGGCAAGGCGAAACGAAAAGAGAACTTTTAGCGGTAGCCGTTAGAGAGAACGTAAGAGAACCGCTAAAATTGGGCCTGATCTCATGTTACCTTGTACCCAGATCTCACTGGCGTCAGGCAGTCTGTAGGTCCGACCGTGGGAGATTTGGGTAAAAGATTACTTGAAACCAGTAGAGAATGCAAATATTGTAAATTATTACTTTATCCGATGGAGAGTTACAATTCATTGAACGTTTTCGCGGAGACTGCAATAGTATTCATACTCCACTTCTTATTTACTCAATTCCACAAATCAGTCTCTCGATGTCGCAAAAGACAACGTTAAATTTGTCTTATCATATTTTTTGGCCTGCCAATAGTTGATCAACTTCAAAGTACAGTGTATCTTCCTTGATTGTGGTTTGGTAAAATCCCATTTCCTTTACCGCTCCATTACGTCCAATTTAATTTGATAGAAGACGTAAGGATAATACTCTTGCTGCGACAAACTGAGTCCCGGAATGTCAAGAGTCTGTAAGAAAATGAACAGATTAAAAATTAAAGAACAAGCCAAAATCTCAGCTATTACATTGAGCTGGTTTAATGTGACCCGATAGACCGAAGGGTGGCGCAGTGGTGAGAGCACTCGTCTCCCACCCATGTGGCCCGGGTTCAAATCCAACTGTCGTCGCCATATATGGGTAGAGGTTGTTGTTGGTTCTTTCCCTTGCTCTGCGAGGTCTTGTTTTTTTTTTTGAGGCGGGGGGGGGGGGGGGGGGGGGTGTTTCCCGTCTTCTTCTCCTTCTACAAACCAAAACACAACACACTCATATCACAGCGGAAATTAGACACACCACTATACAAGAACTCCGTATCATGTCGCGGTCACCACATCCACAATCACTTTTTTTAATAATCACATACACAAAA